TTTTTTGAGATGGAGTCTTGCTCTGTTGCCAGGCTGGAGTGCATGGCACAATCTTGGCTCACTGCAACCTCCACCTCCTGGGTTCAAGTGATTCTCCTGCTTTAGCCTCCTGAGTAACTGGGACTACAGGCGTGTGCCATCACGCCCAGCTAATTTTTGTATTTTTAGTAGAGACGGTGTTTCACCATGTTGGCCAGGATGGTCTGACTCTCTTAACCTCGTGATCCACCTGCCTCGGCCTCCCAGAATGCTGGGATTGCAGTTGTGAGCCACTGCACCTGGCCACAGCTCACTCCTTTTAAAGACAAAAAATTGAAATGTAAGGCTGTGTAAGATTTGTTTTTAAACTGTACAGTGTCTTTTTCTTTTGTATCGTTAACACACTACCAAATGTGTCTTTAGATAGCCCTATCCTGGTGATATTTTTAATAGCCCCCATACTGTACCTTGTTTGGTATATTATGGGGGTTGTAAATTGGCATGGAAATTTAAAGCGGGTTTTCATGGGTGCACAGCACCAATTAATTATGAGATGGTAGCTTTTCATCTTCAGTTGTCTATGATGCAGCTTATATGAAATAATTGTTGTTCCGTTAACTGAATACCACTCTGTATTGTAAAAAAAGAAGTTGCAGCTGTTGACATTCTGAATGCTTCTAAGTAAATACAATTTTTTAATTTTTTTTAAGAGACGGGGTCTCGCTATGTTGCCCAGGCTGGAGTGCAGTGGCTATTCACAGGCATGATCCCACTGCTGATCAGCACGGGAGTTTTGACCTGCTCCGTTTCTGACTTGGTCCGGTTCACCCCTCCTTAGGCAACCTGGTGGTCCCCCACTCCCAGGAGGTCACCATATTGATGCCAAACTTAGCGTGGACACCCAATCGGCATAGTGCACTACAGCCCAGAACTCCTGTGCTCAAGGATCCTCCCACCTCAGCCTCCGGAGTAGCTGGGACTACAAGCACGCGCCACCGCGCCTGGCTTTTTATTGCTATTGTTGTCCTTTAAAAAAATGAATTATAGCCAGCCAGGCATGGTGGACCACCCCTGTAATCTCAGCACTTTGGGAGGCTGAGGCAGGTGGATCACAAGGTCAGGAGCTCGAGACCAGCCTGACCAACACAGTGACACCCTGTCTCTACTAAAAATGCAAAAATTAGCCAGGCATGGTGGCGTGTCCCTGTAATCCCAGCTACTCAGGAGGCTGAGGCAGGAGAATCACCTGAACCCCGAAGGCAAGGGTTGCAGTGAGCCAAGATCACCCCACTGTCCACCAGCCTGGGCAACAGAGTGAGACTCTGTATCAAAAAAAAAATTATAAACTATTTCAGACATGGAATAAATAATAATTTGAATTTTAAAGGATAATAGGATTACAGGTTGAGTATTCCTTATCTGAAATGCTTGGGATCAGGAATGTTTCAGATTTTGAATTTTTTTTT